ACTTGTAAAACGAGTTTCAAGTCCAGATAATGAGAACTGGTGCTAGAAATCGATACTGGCTTGAAAAATCGCGTACCGAAAAGGTGCTCAGAAAATTACGAAAAAAATATGATAATTCTTAGAAAAATGTCTAGTTTCAGAATCCAAAATTTGGGATTAAAATGCTAAGCGTAGCAATTAAAGATAATACTGTGTGTTTAAGTGGCTTGGGCTATAAATACCCATTTTTAAGGGCACATAGCCCTAGAAAACATAATTCCAGCGTGAGTTATTGGTGGAGGCTGACCAGAATAGTGCTCCATTGCTCTTCCCTTCATTTCTTGGCCAAGTTATCACCTTTGATGCTTGTTCCTTCTTTCTAAACACTTGGTGAGGGTGAGAGCTAGCTTCGGGACTGCTTTGTTGGTCTCTTTCTGAGTGTTGGTGGCTGTGTTGAGCTTGTGAGGGGCTGAGTTAGTAGGTTGGAGTGTAGAGGTTTTGTTCTTGGTTGTTGAAGCTCCAAGAGGTCATCTTTGGGAAGAAAGGAACCACCTTGTTGTGCATTTTCGTGCATTCCTCCAAGTCAGAGTTTGGGAGCTGGTTGTGAGCTCCAAGAGCACCTCCAACCTCTGTTTTGAACTTTGGTGAGTTGTACCTACCTCGAGCTTGTGTTTTAATGGATTAAAGGTGTGATCTTTGCATGTTTAAAGGATTAATCAAGTAACCAACTGGGGTGTAGACCTTAATCAGTATAAAGATGCATGCTTTAATGTAAGTAAGTGTTAAAAATGAAACCTTGGAAGGATATCTTCATGAAATGCATTTTCTGCATTCTGTCGTGAAATATCCGAATATGTGATATCCGGATATGGGTTTTGAGTATCCGGATAAAAGATATCCGGATATGGGATTCTGGATATCCGGATATTGCATATCCGGATATGGTCCCAAGGAATATCCAGATATTCTGGGATTTCGTAGAACAGTAGCTGTGCTGTGTGTACAGTAGGCTATTGGGGGTTTGTGGACCCTAGATTGATGAAGTTGAACTTCTGTAATTAATGAACTAAGTCAGAATCGTTGTGATTAAGGACTTATGGCTTGGTATGGAGCCTTAGAACGTAAAACGTAAGGAAAGGCGTTGTCTTTAAGTTATATGCTTGTGTTGCATTATTATTGATATAGTATTGGTCCATAACAGATTGTGAATCTGCTGTGTTTGGACTTTGAGCTGTGGACTCTTGGCTTTTGGAGTTAGCTTGCAAGGTAAGCTTTCGTGTCCTCGGTTTAGCCATGTTGTGGTTCCACCATGTCCCATGGGGGTATGGTTTATGCATGCTGTGTACATGCTTTTGGATATTTGATATGTTGATTGAACTTTACATGTAATGGCTTTTAATATGCATGTGTTGTTTCATCTTGACGGGAAGCCTGAGTATGTAGCGCCATACAAGACGATGTACTGGGGTGAATGCAAGTGGTACTTGCACGGTGTGTAGGTGATAGACGTATACCTGCACTGTCTCTGGCCAGTAGATTAGTATTGACACACATGGCATGATTATCTGCTGCATTGCATTGTTTTAGAAATGATAAATGATAAACTGCTTTTGAACTTATATTCCACATGTAAGTGAGCTTGGGGTGGAAGATCCTTGAGGACTCACTGACTTACTGAGATTTCTAGATTAGAGATCTTACCCCACGTTTGGGGAATGCTTATTTCAGGATCAGGTAGTATGGGTACTGATGCCTCATGCGGCAGGAGGCCGGAGCTTAGCTGATTATGTTGTTTCTGCTTATTTGTTAGCATGACTGGATATTGATGCTGATTATGTTTTATGCCTTTTATCATTATGTTGTTGTTGAGACTGATGTTGGGCATGTTGCCTTATTTGAGTGAGCATGAGGATTGTCCATGACACTCTCAGTTAGTACTTTTTAGATTGGAGCTGTATAAACTGTTAGATGGTCTGATCTACATTGTTGTAGTTCCGTGACAAGAGCCACACTTATATTATCTATGATTATGAGGTATTTGAGTTAGCTGTTTTATTGCAATTACATACCGACGATGTTTTATTAATTGATTAATTAGCAAGTTGGTAATGTTAATGGCATCATAATTGAAAAGAAAAAGTAATTCTACATTTTAATTAAGCGCAGCTTAATACGATATTATGATAACATCATAGAAGCGTGGATATTGCACAGGCTCAATTTTTGGTTTACCTTTTTTGTGCTTTTTTTATTTTAATTCCACAAGTGGGGGCGGGGAGGATCGAACTCGTGACCTTATGGTCACTCAAGCTCTGATACCATGTAAAGAATCACTTCAACCCAAAACCTTAAAGTGTTGGGTGAAGACCTTTTTAATAATTTATATTATTCTCTAACTCCCCCCTCACATAAGAGCCCTTTGGGCTTGACTTGAAGTGTGGAAATTGCATAGGCCCAATGTTTTTTATTTTACCTTGTGTTTTTTTATTGCATAGGCCCTTTACGCTTGTGGTTACTGAAGCTCTGATACCATGATAAGGACCACTTCAACTTAAAACCTTAAGGTGTTGGGTAAGGGCTTTTTTTGATGATTTATATTATTCTCTAACACATCCCCTCAATAAAAGCCCCTTTGTGCTTGAAGTGTGATATTGCACAGTCCCAATGTTTTTTGTTTTACCTTGTAAAGAACCATTTAAATAACCATTTCAACCCAAACCTTGAGGTGTTAGGTGAGGGCTTTTTAATGATTTATATTATTCTTTAAGATGAGTTGAAGGCAAATCTTGTAACTCCAGCTATTGTTGAGAGATTGGTTGATGACTTGATGCTACTTGAAGAGTTATAGTGTTCTCGATCGTGAGGGTAAATGATAAGTGGAGATTGATTATGTATGGACGATAAAACAAACTATGAAAGCAATGTGGAGTCGGTACGCAGTACAAAGGTAAAGTAGGCATCTGCACTCATAGTGAGATTCTTTTTTTCTTTTTTTTGTAATAATAGTGAGATTCTTTGTAACGAAAGAAAAGTTGGCATTGATGCACAGCTTCTTGCTCAAATTCTTCACCCTCAGATTCTTCTGTATTATCACATCATTGTCAAAGTCTTGTCATTTTCTTAGTGGTCTTCCTTATCACAATCAAGTTTCTGTTCATCTTCCTGATTTCATTGCACTGCAGTGACCTATGCCATCCTTGACATGGATTAGTTGAAGGCAAGGAAAAAAGAAGGAAAGAATGATATTCAAAGACCAGTTACTCATAAGTCATAACTTGAAGTCTGTTCCCCGCGGAATATTTCAAATTTTTCACATACCAACATATATAGAATATATGTATGGACTAAGTTCATTGATTACCCATTCATTCCTTAAATATTATAAAGAATCTTTGAGTCATGACCACTGCACACATCTGATAGCTGGTTCAAAATAATCAAATCTAGCTGTAATTTCAAGATTAGTTAAGGTTGAAAAGCATGACAACATCAAACTTGTTGGGTCGTAGATGAACCCAAATAAAAAGCAAGAAGGAAAAAATATGTGAATCTAAAATGAATAGCACCCAAGATTTTGACCTTTCCAAAGATATGGAATTTCTGCTGCAAGGTGCTTGCAACATATTCGCCTATCTCCTCTTCTGTGGGCGATAGTTAAAAAGAGGGAGAGAGAACACCTCATAATCAGTGGACTTAATTTTCATAGCACTATCCATGTTACATTTATCTCATCTGTGAATTCCCTCCATTTATGAGCTTTTGTCCAACATTCAATCTAACTAAGTCGTAAAAAATTAAAAATATACTTTTACACCATATTACCTCATATATATTGCATCGTCGCTTCTAGCATTCCTTATAATGTCCGACATGAATTCATGTAACGCATAAAGACAGTTTAGGCAGAAGGAAAGGGTAGATAAATCACCATCCCTTGAATTGTATACACTTCCTCAATGTAATATGGATTCAAATTTGAAGTGATATATATGTGTAAAATATTTTACATTTATTATTGTTATTATCTCAACTCACCTCAAGATTCGAGAATTGTGTAGAAGTTAAAAGTCAAAACCCGTAAAACTTGGCAAGTCTATCACTTAGAAAGGTTCAAAATTACTTTTTTTTTTAAAATAAAAATAAACATATGCATATGTAGAATGCTTATTTTTTTCAAAACAAGTTTATAAATATAAAAAGTATTCAAGAACACAGAACACAAACTGTTTTGTTTTTGAGAAAGAGATGTTTAATCAAGATATTAGTATTTTAATCTTGGATTTAGATATTTTTTCAGATATTTCTGAATTAGATATCCTTGAGTGATCAATGTGCATTGAAAATAACGGCATTTACCAAAATGGTGAGGTGTTGTCAGTTGTGTATGTACAATAAAATCATAATAACAAAGAGAGATTAAATATTCATACTTGTAAATTTTATTTCTTATTTATAAGATTTATATGTGAATATTATAATTAATATCTTGGATTGATACTTTACTTTAACTATATTAGTTTCTTTTTTTATTGTTTATTATTGAGGTTTATATATTATGGGCATCTTATATGAGTCCATAACACAAATCATATATAAAAGAGTTCACAAGTGTATACACGAAAAAACTATATACAAGTTACAGAATCAATTATACTTACCAAGTCATATATATAACATTCATAAGCAAGAAAAAAAGTACACATATTTGCATTAGGCGTAAAGATAAAATGCAATGACTCGATCGCATGCCAAACGTGTCGTTTCGTTGTATGGTGGTTGTTAATTGTTATCAAGCGTGAGTTTATCATTATTCACGACCACACTTTCAGAAATGAAAGCTCTCGCGCTCTGTTATGATACCATCCCAATCCTGGAGCCGGATCAGGATCCGGGTCCGGGTCCCACTTTACCGGAGCTGCTTAACAGCAACGCTATATAATTCATTTCCTCGTGTAATAAAAAAAATGTATATATAATCCATTTTGTCTTAACAAACTAACGAACCGCTATTCTAAAGCTGAAGTCTCAACGAACCATAACCATAACCATAACATAAATTTTTGGCCCCGTGACTTGCTTCCATTACCCATTTTGCTTTGCTTTGATACTCTCTCTCACACCGCCATGGATCCCAACCCAGGAACCTTCCCTATTGTCTCCTACGTCATGTCCCGTCTCTCTTCCTTCGGCCCCAGATCCCCAACCTCCACCTCCGCCACCGCCACCACTTCCCATTCCCAATCCGATATCGAACAACCGCCACCCTCGGACCCTTCTTCTTCAATCATAGGCCAAATGCCCAATCTCGCGGACCCTAAACTGTTAGCCACGATGACCCGGGCCATCTCTGACGTGGCCCAGGCCCGATCGGTACTAAAACTGATCGGCGAGCGGCCCACCCATGAGGAGGTGGATAATGCGAAGGCCAAGCTGGGCGACCTGGAAGCCCATTTGTCCCGTCAACTGGAAGAGATCGTGGCCCTCCCGAGGCCACCGGAGATCGAGGAACAACAATGGCGGGCTCACGTGGCCGAGAGAGAGAAGCAGTGCAAGGAATCGTCGGAGAAAGAGAAACGCGTTCTGAAGTCGCTGATACAGCTGGACGAGATGCACGATTCTTACGAGAAGCTCCTCAAGGACGCTGAGAAGCGATTGGTGAAGATTTACGAGGAAGAAGGTGACAATAACAATGAGAGTGACAAGGGTGGTGATGAGAATGAACAAGTTGCTGGGATCTTGCAAGAAGCCATTGGTAGTAAAGGTGTGGAACGAGTGGATCTTTCAGGGAAGAAACTGAAATTGCTTCCTGACGCATTTTCCCACATTCCTGCTTTGGTGGTTCTCAATCTCTCCACCAATCAGCTTTCGGTTAGAACATTAATTTTTTTTCTTCCCTTTTCTTTTAAATGCAAATTGCGAGTCCTTCGATCTTTGTATAGTTATGATTCGTCAGTCATAATTTCTCGTATATAATGCTTTCACATTAAATATAGGGAATCATGACCATACAAAGTTGAAATTGATTGATAGTAACACTAATCGTTAGTCGTTACAATATCCTATCCCATATATAATATAATACTTTGCTAAATAATAGGTGATTCCTGATTCAATAGCTGGATTGCAAAATCTTGAAGAGCTTAATGTCTCTTCAAATGTTTTGGAGTCACTGCCTGATTCAATTGGCTTCTTACAAAAATTGAAATTCCTCAATGTCTCTGGAAACAAGCTCACTGCACTTCCTGATTCCATCAGTCAGTGCAGGTATATGCCATAAAGAGAAATTCTATACAGAGCACCATTCTTTATATTGTTTATTTAACCATTTTTTTATATTAAATGATCGATCAGGTCATTGGTGGAGCTAGATGCAAGCTTTAACGCTCTGTCATATTTGCCAACAAACATTGGATATGAATTACAGAATTTACAGAAGCTCTTGATTCAATTGAACAAGATTCGATCTCTTCCTTCATCTGTTTGTGAGATGAAGTCCTTGCGGTATCTGGATGCTCACTTTAATGAGCTACATGGGCTTCCTATTGCAATTGGGAGATTGACTAATCTTGAAATTCTCAACCTTAGCAGCAACTTCAGTGACCTTAAAGAACTTCCAGACACATTTGGTGATTTGATTAGCCTCAGGGAATTGGATCTCAGCAACAATCAGATTCATGCACTTCCTGATACATTTGGTCGCCTTGATAATTTGACCAAGTTAAACTTGGAGCAGAACCCTCTTGAAGTGCCACCAATGGAGATTGTAAATCAAGGGGTCCAAGCCATAAAGACTTTCATGACCAAGAGGTTGATTGATATATTGGAAGAGGAAGAAAGGAAAAGCACGCATGAAATGCAAGAACAAGGACCAAATGGCTGGTTAACACGAAGTACCTCCTGGCTGAAAAATGTTTCTGGAAATGTAACCGAGTATCTCGGCACTGCCATTGGATCTCCTAGGACCCCAAAATCTCCCAGAGATGGTTTTCTTGATCAGCAGCTTTGAGCCTATAAGGTGGTGGTGGTGGTCTAGCAAATATTGAGGACTTTCATTTTTGCCTATTCTCATATGAAGATTATATTATATGGAAATGTTATATTTACAAACTTTTTGTTTATAAACTACACTATGTCTGACCGGTCATACTTCAATCAAGAGTATATAATCGGTCATACTTAGTGTAATTTGTAAAAAAAAAAGTTTGTAAATAGATTCTTCTCCTCATATTATATTATAGATACTATCTGCTGTCAATCAACTATTCCCTGCTCCTACTCCTTTTGGTTGCTACTTGCTGCTGCAATTATCCAACGGAGGGTGGAAGCTAACATTATTTTCTTTTTGCTATTAAGTATAGCAGTTTTGTTTACTGGTGATAGGTAAGTGGGACAGAATTTACTATTTTATATTACATTTTTTTCCTCCAAACCTTTAGTTGTTTTATACAGTTTAATCCAAATCAACCCAAAATTGAAAAATCCTTTAGTCTGAACATTTTATTACGGGCCATTTGCAGTTTTTAGCTATGGCAGTAAATACATATTACTTATTGCACATCCTTAACTATATGCTCTCTCTGGGCTTGCTCCCAGACTCTTGCTATATCATATTTGTAAGGACTTTAGGTACAATAATATAAATGGAGAAGATGACGATGAGACATTTTGAAATCGTAATGTTTAAATTACCAGGGAAGAAGAAAGAGAGAATAGGAATGGCAATAAATAATATAAGATTATGTTGATATTTAAATAGAAGAATATTATATTGATATAGTTAGTTATTTATACCAATAATTGCATCAAGTATTGGTGTGGTATTAATAGTATAAGCACAATTCCATTAGGACAATTAAGACACTCAATCTTAAATAAATAAAGAAACAAATCAAATATATATTTCCTAATTGAAGTGCTAAATATAGGGAAATAATAAGGAGAAATCGAATCAGTAATAATTGTAATACATACAGTCAATAATTTACAAAACGAAATCTTTTGCTATCAATCAAGCAAAATGCGTCCCAAATTTTAGCTCTCGGCATTAAACTCCCACATAATCAATACCTCTATTCTAACAATATTTTCTTTCTCCTCTTTATTCTTTAAAGACCATATAGCGATTGAATATGGTTAAGCACAATTTAGCGCAAAATTTAAAAAACCTGTAATATTAGAGTTACTTATGCTACTTGTTCCATAGGTATCCCTTGGTATTTCAATTCCAGAATTATTATTTTTTCCCCTTGCTCGTAGTTTCTTTTTTCAAGTAAAGCGGTCGTAATCCTGATATTGGGCTGGAAGAATCACCTCCGGTGGCAGAGAGATAGAAGAATGGAAGCCGCTTTAGACATTATATTAATAAAACCACTGTTAACCACTCCATGTGCTGCACATGGCTGCTGTAATATAATATACTTTAGCAATTATATAACATAATAAAGTATTAGAAGTCAGTCTTAGACATATTCATATATAAACACCATTCTTTGGTCTTCTTTGTTTTGCAGAGAGCCTGCAAAGTATGACCAATATTACCTTAATTACAACGTTGTTGGTCGCCTTGACCGTGTCCTATTTTGTCCGTCTGTTAAGCGATCTGAAACTTGAAGGATTCTATTTGGCAGAGACGCTACCCTTTCTGGTAATCGCTGTGACTGTTGCATCAGTGATGATCTTGGCTTTCCGAGCCACAATGGTGGCATGGATCACAGTGTTGGTTCTGCTAGCTTTTGCAGGCAACCGTCGCAGGGTTTTGGTTCAACGAGGCAGGCGAATAACCCTTGATGTGTCATGGTACCTGCTCACCGTTATGTTCAGATCACAGAAGGGACTATTTGCCGTCGCTTGTGCTGCCATACTCGGCTTGTTGGCCACCTATCGATGAATTAAGTAAATATTTTCTCTGTAAAGTTGTGATTCTTTATAGTTTTCTTCAACATAAGTATACAGATTCTTTGTAAATTTCAGATCTTGATAATGAATGGGGAAAAACCCATGATGTAGTAGTAAGTTAGAGAATAGGCTAATTTTCTGACTTGTGGTAGTAAGCTAACAATTTTTACTCGCTATGAAAATATATATAGCATGTAATTGACATCTTTTGAAATTTGAAGGGGAGATCCCAAATGTTTTGCATCTTCTTTTTTTATTTTGTTGGCCCTGCATGTTGCCCTTTGATTGGAATATTCATTTATATATATGGTTTGGATGATAGGCATGAATTATTAATACTTGCCTGTTTGTAAATTTTGTAATGTGGATAAATTTTATCATCATAGATTATCTTATCTATCATTTTTTTGTCTATCTTTAGCTACCACTCTCTAACATCATTAGATTAGAATTGCAACAGTAGAGAAAAATGATAAATGTAGTTGAGATTCTGATCTGATGGTGTTGAAGAGTGGTAGACAAAAATAAACAAAAATAAATAGAATAACCTATCTCATTTTACCACCCTTCACTTCACAAACAAAGGAATGAAATAAAATGAAGTTATGCTGCTCGTGACAAACTAGTGATGAATGTGCAGAGAAGGGTTAAACATCTTACTGATTCTAAATTCTAGTGGGAGAGCTTCAGAAATTACTTTACATGCTCTTCACGAGTTAGATGTTGATTTTTGTGCTTAGGACAGAGATGGAAAGGGCCCAACAACAGCCCATTTCCAGAAAATCACTAAATCGGCTCAAAGTTGTTAGCATTGGCCAAGAAAAAAATAATAACAAAATATGAGATAATTATGATTTATGGACTCTAGCTATATTCAATAAATTCGTTAAAACCCAACTTATAATGTGTCCACCTCCGAGGACGTCAATTCACTCGGCAAAACCCACCAAAAAATTATATTAAGGAATGTTTCAAAAACTAACAATGTCCTTAGAAGTACTTTCTATTTGCTCCACATATCAGAGCACTCTTGCACCGCCTCTTCATGCAATCAAAGAACAACTAAGGCAGAATCACAAATCACAAGTCTGCCATCCACTCCTCTTGTTTATAAATAGGACGTTTCAACACGAAGAAAACATTGAATTCCTTAAGAAGAGATCACCTAGGGTAGTTTAAGTTTATGCTTTTCAATTGTATAGTTTTAACGGTAGTTAAATGAAACCAACTCTTCCTCCATTTTCTTTTCATCATTTGAGACTCCTCACGAGCATTATCCACACTTTTTCATTTTTATTTCTTCGTATTTTAAACTTATTTTCTATTAATATATGTTTGTTGTTTCTCTTCTCTTCCACTCGTTATTTTCAAACTGAATCTCGGGTCTATGAGATTTCATATTGAAATAATTATGTTTATGTTTTCAGCCATGGGCTAATTTATTTTGGAATGAAAAAACTGTGAAGTTCTTAAAGAACTATGCTCAAAACTTTTGCACTGAAGCTTTTGTATTTATGTGATTTAAGTAAACTCAACTCTTTGGGTATCAATGGAAATTGAACTCATACCGAGGAAGGAACTTCTTAAGGAAGGGATTTCAAACAACTTAATCATAGGAGGAAAGTAGGATTGTGGAAACAATCCTGCTGGTTGCCTTAGGAATAAGGAGCCACCTCGTTCTCTGAAGGTTCTGAACTTTGTAACTGTTGGAGTCAAGGAAACCATAGGAATATGAAAACTTGTTAGCCATTTAGTCCATGAGCTGAGGAATCAGAGTTGGCAGTGAAAAGACCTGAACAAATTCAGAAGGGTTAAGTCTTAAGTTGAGAGTATAGCTTTTAAGAATGAAACAGTGGATCTGTTCCTTGTGTTAAAAACTGTTTTATTACCCATCCATATTGTTGTCTCATAAATATTGTTATCTTTAAGTTTTCAGCATTTAATATCTTGTGACAATATAACCAAACCTCCAATGAATTTTGTCATTCCTTTTTACACCATGAAGGATTTAATACATAACGAAGTGAGGAGTTGTTTGGAGTCAAACTGAACCTACCACCTTGAGGGAATGTCCACAAGGCAGTAGGGAACGAAAGACCAAACAGTTCAAATATTGTCTTTTCTTATATCTAAAACTCATTTCAAAATAGTTTAAGGTATTATTTAGAGTTCTATTCGCGTGGGAACGATAACTTGGGCACTAATAATCCCATTTATTGCCTGATGCGTGCACTTGCGTGACTGAGTTGATATATCTAGAGAACGAATACGTTTTCTCTTGATGGACTAAATAAAGGAAACGTCCTTAAGAGCATCAGCACCCAACAAGAACGTTATTTGGCATTTAAGTTAACTTATAACTATATGCAATGCTTCTTGAAAATAAAATATTCAAGTTTAAAGCAAATATGTCATTTTAGTTATGAGGAGAACTCTGTTATTTTAACATTCTTGCAAATTTTTGTCACGAGACTATCTGATATCTAACGTTTTTACGAAATACCTTAGAAGAAGAAAATTCTTCCAAGTAGCTATTTCAATTCCAAAGTTCGTGCTTGAAATGCCTTCTATAATTAGAATTTCAATTTGTAATAATAAGATGCGACTCTAAAATTCAGATATGTATCGTAAAATTTTTAGCACAGTACTATTTGCACACATTAAAAGTTAGACCATTTTTTACAAATGGTTAAACAGATTAAGCAAAAAATATTTTGTAATCTCCTTGATTTATTACACAAGATTAAATAAGGCTTAAGAAGATAATTTTACAATCATCACCTAGTTCACATAAGCAAATCAAAATATTTATAAAATTACATATCGTGCTTGACTTGCAGTCAGAAGGGTGGGTTGTCTCTTATTTCACCGAGGCTAGTTGCGTAAAATTATTCCATTTTTCCAATAATATGTAACAATTAATCAAACAGAATAAGAAAATTTGAGTCAATATTTCTGATAATATTTTAGCCTATCAAATATTTTGTTAATAATATTTCTGAAAAATTAACTTTTCCACCATATTTTTGTCGGGACAAAAAAAAATTCTTCTACCAAACATTCCCTAAAGGTAGTTTTTAGAACATGAGACAGGGGCATAGGAACCAATGAAGATGTCACCATAAATCAACCTAGCCAAGCCTCCTCCAATCAATGGGCTAACCTAGTAGATACATTTATTGGCTAAGGACCCGTTTGGAAGAGCTTTTAAAAAATAACTTTTTATGCATTGCTTTTTTTAAAAGAACTTTTTCTAAAAGATAAAGTTATTTTACGTTTGGATGTATGATCTAAAAATCACTTCTACATAAAAAAAATTATTTGGATGTTAAAATAAAAAAAACACTTTTTATATATAAAATTACAATAAAGAAGAGATAAAATAACATGATCGTGGGATAATAAGAGATAAAATAGGTATGATAAGATGAGGTTAAAATTGTATTTTAAAAATTTATATTATCTTATTTCCAAAAATAAATTATATTATCTTTTAATTTTTACTTTGTTCAAAAGCAACTAACTACTGGCTTAAAAAAAGCAGCATTTTAACTTTTATTTTAAATTTTGCTTTTTAAAAAAATTGTTATCCAAACATCTAAAAAAATTCAAAAGGACTTTTATTTTAGAAAAAATAACTTTTTTAGGAATAAAAACTCATCCAAACAGGCATTAAGGGGGTGTATTGGATTAGGATTTTAAAAGACTTTTTTGAGATAAAACATTCTACCGATTTTAAAAGACATTTTAGAATTGGAGAGACTTTATAGACTTTTTTAAAAGATTTTTTTTACAATCAAGATTTCATAGGATTGGATTTTAAAGGATTTTAATAGAATTCATAAGATTTGAAAGGACAATATGGATTTATAAGATTTTAAAAAACTATATAAATTTTTAACGAATATTCAAAATTACAATAGTCAATAAAAATAAATAACAAAGAAATGCAATGATATTAATAAAAAAAGTAAACTTAACAACGGGTTGAAAATTATCTCAAAAATTACTAAGCAACAACTCTCCACATATCAATAAAATCTAACATAATGTTCTCAATGAGTTTGAGTTTGATTTGCGAAAATAATAACCATATATCAACGGTTAACTTCCAAATTAAATATTAATTAATGAGTTTGATTTGCAAAAATAATAACCAATGATTGATGGAAATCAACGGTTAAGATATGGTTGTAAAATGTTGTAAACAAAAATAGGTTGTAAGTATAATATTTCCCATAAAAAAATAACAAAGAAATGCAATGAAATTAATAAAAAAAAAGTAAAACCTAATATAATTTTCTCAATCATTAAAACATAATATAATTTTTAACAAACATTCAAAATTACTAAACAACAGCTTTTCACATATCCAATGGGTTAAAAATTATCTTCTTTATTTGTTATCAAAGTTATGCATATATGATTATAAGACCCAAATTTTTTTTGATTATAAAAATAATTCTAAATTTGCATATAGAACCTAAAGTTCATGATAAAATTTCGTTTGGAATTTTTTGCAAATGATCTTGAAAACCTTGCGATTTTTGTTTTACGTGATGAGAGTTTTCTAACCATATATCATATGCATATTTTCATTGAATATTCTAAGAAAATTTTGAATATGAAATTTTGGGTTTAATTACATGAAAGTTTAGAAAATTTCTCAAATTTTTTTCAATCGATAACAAACAAGTTTTTAGTTATGTATTGACACAAAAATTGTTTGAAAACGTTTTCTATAGTGAAGGAATTTCGTTCATAAATGCATTATTACGAAATATAAGGTTCATATTATGAAAGTTTCAATCTTTCTTTCAATTGATATTGTTTCATTGATGTAAAACGAAAAATTGGTTTGAGGGTTTTAATTCCCCTGTTATTTTTTCACTGTTTTATGTTGTTTTTAATACAAAAATCACACGTTTTTGTTCAAAGAAAAATCGCGACCCATAGCTTGAAAAATCACTTTTTAAACTTCTAAAATTTCTCAAAAATGGCTCAAAAATATGTTATTATTGAAATAGATTATATTAAAATCTCGTTGATTTGTTGTTTCTGCGTTATTTTGTGGTGAAAATCGCTCAAAAATATGCTTTTTTTTTTTGTTTTGATGAAGCTCCCAAAGCGGAACTCAATTTCGAGCAGTCAACCTGTTAAAGGAAGAGGAAAACACTGCAATAGAAGAATCTCAAGAAATCATAGGGGTTATAGTGAGATTGTGAGAGAGACATCCTATTTATATTTTTCACTAAAAAGTCTCACGAAATTCACACCAATAGAAAATCCATTAAAATTGTCGGATTTTTGAATACCACGAGATTGTGATTTCATTGTTTAAAATCATAATTGAATACCAACGGACTTCGACGGATTCTAAAATAATCCTTTAAAATCCTAATCGAATACCACTGACTTTTTTTCTATCCATTAAAATTCTAATCAAATACCAAAGGATTTTTTTTGTCCGAAAACAATCTATTAAAATCCTTTGAAATTCCAATCCAATACACCCCCTAAGGGGCTGTTTGGTAGAGGTATGTTTATAAAAATACCAGGAAAGTTACAATGGGTATCATAAAAGACCACATTTGGTGGGAGCTTTCACATTAGTTGTCTGGTTTTTCAATTTGTCCTAGAATTGCTTTTATGAGCAAAATGTGTTGTACTTTACCTTATGAAATTACCACAAAAGGTGGTATTTGTGAAATACCCAATGTAAGGATTTGTAATCTGATATTTTTCGACAGTTATATCCTGCCTTTTTGATAGCTGATCGATCTTCTACTGTGAGCACTTACAGCCTGAAATTGTATCCCATTATGAGAGTGTTCTTCCCTGCATTTTAAATGCTCTTGAGGATGCATCTGATGAAGCAAAGGTACACGTTGGAGAAGAGAACGGTTTTCTCAATACAATAGATTGCTAGATTATGTGCTAGTACAAAAATAAAATTAAAAATAAAAAGTTAATTGGATTGTTTGCATGTTATCTGAGCATTACATTTAAATTTATTCAGGAAAAGTCATACTATGCTTTGGCTGCTTTTTGCGAGAACATGGGTGAAGAAATCCTTCCTTTTCTAGATCCTTTGATGGGAAGACTCTTGACAGCTCTCCAAAACAATTCCAGAAATTTGCAGGAAACATGCATGATATGGGGAAGATTCAGTATGCAGTGAAGATTGTTATATTTGTAACGAATCAGCAATTGTTTTGTTATTTAAATTTATATTTTTCAGTGGATGCCCTTACCAGGAGGATGAGATGATGTACAAAAATCACGATATGTGAATATTCAAGATGAACATAGATTTACTGTATTCAAAGAGTTCACCCAGAAAAATATACTCTTTTTTGCCCAATGATGTTTTTGTTTCGTATCCTGTCTATTAATGTATGAGGTTATTTTCGTAAAATTCTTTCATATTCTCACCAATATTTTATCATCAACCAAATAACATCTCAGGAAAATTAACCAAAATTCTCGGTAATATTTTTGCCTACCAAACAGCCTTTTCGTACCATTCCCGGGAAACTAATATTCTAACTAAATTCCTAGTAATCATGATTTTCGAGTAAAAAATAATTTCTCCTCTACCAAACGCTCCCTAAGTTTCCACTAACTACAGCTGGGCTGAATCAGTGAGCTAGGTTCAAAAAAAAAATATCTGACTTGGATATTCGAGTAAAAAATTATGACTTTTCAAAGTTTTATGATGAAATATCTCAAATTTGAAAAAAAAAGTTGGAATTTTTTTTATCCAAATCTCCTTCAATGAGATGTCATTGCGTAGATCTCAAAAAATTATATGGAATAAAAAAATATCCAATTCGGATACCCGAGTTAAAAATTATGGCATTCCGAAATTTTTCGATCAAACTAATGACTTTTTTAGTACCACGTGTCGTCACCGGACAAATCACGCCTGTGTGAGCCACGACTTTATCTTGCGCCTAGTAGACGTAATAAGTCGCGCCTCAATTAAAATAATAATATTAATTGAGATTTTTAAAACAGTTATATTTTTATATTTTTTTATTAAAATAATAATATATTAACTTTTTCCCCATTGACCATCATGATATATATTTTTGAATATATTGGTAAAAATTAAACATATAACCCAGGCAGGATATTGATATATATTTTTGAATATATTGGTAAAAATTAAACATATAACCCAATACAAATTGAGCAGGACATATTTACAACAAAAAATATTTATCTCCTTTACAATTAATTTAATCACCGTTGATTTCCATCAATCTAATGGTTATAACTTATTGAGAATTAATAATTAATTAATAAGTACAATCCAATAATTTTCAATAAAATATAACTATTAAATTGACAGAAATCAACGATGATTAAATTAATTGTAAAAGTGATAAACTTTTTTGATCTTCCACAAAACAAATTATAAATTAATTATAAAAATGATAAAAAAAATTTGATGATAAGAATATTCTTGCACGATACAAATTATCTAAATCTTTTGCGAGGGAGAAAAATTCTAATCTTACCATCACGATATTTGATTTTTGATATCAACGAAGGGTAAAATCTCTCGGCGGGTCCCACCGTTAACTTTGGGAAGAAGTTATGTTCTTTTAGAAAGAAAAAAAAAATCCAAACAAAAAAGATTTTCTTGTTCGCAAAGCCACCAGCGTATGTAAGTTACTCTCCGTTTCAGAGTGCGTGTATAGCGGCTAACGGGTACGCTAAAGCTAGCGAATTCTCCTTTTCATATATGATCCGTAGAAGAAGCCTTATCTCCGATTAGGGTTAGGGTTTCAGTGTTTTATCTCACTCCTTACTGATACGCGGCTTCCCTTTGTCGTTCTTCGCTTGTTTTCTGAGAGCTATGGAGTCCACTCTAGTGATCAAGGTTCCGATCTTAAATTCCCTTTTTCCTTCTTCTTTTTTTGGTTGTTTGATTATTCGGCGTTTAATTAATTCATTTTTTTCTTTTAAATTTTTGCTTCGAGATGCAGTGCGTTTAGTCAATTTTGAATTGCTTGAGGGAAATAAAATAAATCGTTTTTGGTTCGTGACTTTTTTAGCAGTTGGTTTAGTGTTTGAAGTCTAATAGGGATTTTGTTGTTTCAGTTCGTGGTCGATGTTGTTAGAATTGTATTTGTGCATCCTTTTTCTGATTTCGCCTTTTTATTGTTTTGATGATCGGGAGCACGGAACATTAATTTTATACCATCTTCATATTTAACGAGTTTTGTAAAGACGAATGGAACTGAAATCCCAAATAATGCTTGTTGGGTTTCGGTATGAATAATTTTGTTTTGCCCATAGAAAAATTTAAGCATGCGTTTCATGGAATTCGATTTATTCTTAGCATTTGCTCGATGAGTCTTGGTTTGATTTAATTTATTTGTTTGTTTATTTTTTGGTTAGGTATACCTCATGTCATTGAAACGGTTCACTGTTATGAATTTTATTTGTATAAAAATGTGTGTCTAGTCGAAGGCTCTATAAATAGTACTTGGTTCTTTTTACTGCGGGTCATTGTTAGTTTGTTAATGGTATATGTTTGATCAATGTGACAAGGATCTAGTCAGTCAAATCTATGATCGACATTTTAAAGTTTCTGGTTAATTTTTTTTCATATGATGTGATTTCTGGAGACAGTGGCCATTTTTTTGGTTGAATTTCATCAACAATTATTGTAAAGACTCTGCTGATGATTAATTTCACGTGGTTTTTGACATGTCATAGCTGGGCTTCATTTTGCCTGAGTCTTAAATGAGTGGTTCTATAATCTTGCAAATCTTTTCTTATTGCTTCATTTCCGTCGTACAGGTCAAATATGGAGATACCCTCAGGCGCTTTAGTGCTCGTGTGGATGAGAATAATCGACTGGATCTTGACATGCTTGGGTTGAGGTCCAAGATATGTTCTCTTTTCAATTTCACTGCTGATGCAAATTTAATGCTTAGATATGTTGATGAAGATGGCGACTTGGTGACTCTTGTGGATGATGATGATTTGCATGATGTGCTGAGGCAGCACTTAAAATTCTTGAGAATTGATGTACATATGGGCATTGACAAAAAAAAGAAAAAGAAAAATACTGGGTCTAGTGGAAGTGCCACCCCCTTAAGATCTCCTCCTGTCCCAAAACCTAAAGTTGATGTTTTGCATTCTATTCAAGAGCCATTGAGCGTGGCTCTTAAAAATTTATTGCTTTCAAAAGATGCATCCTCAAGTCCAGTGCTTGTTAATCTTGCTGATTCAATTTTCAAAACGGGACAATCTATTCTGAGTTCTCATTGCCAGCCTCATGTTGCAGCTGGTCCCAGCTCAAAAAATGGTGTTCCTGAAGAAAGTATTACTTCTGAAGCAAGAGGTCAACAGTCTCCGTCTGTGGACTCTGCTTCCACTGCCTGTCTCGATGCTAGGTCTAGTGGAAGTGACACCCCGCTAAGATCTCCTCCTGTCTCAAACCCATTTCCAAGTGGAAATGTTACTAAAGTTGATGAGCCATTACCCATGGCTCTTTCGAATTTATTATTTTCAAAAGCTTCATCTTCAGGTCCAGTGCTTCATCTTGCTGATTCAATTTCCAAAATGGGACAATTTATTCTAAATTCTCATCTTGCAGCTTGTCCAAGCTCAAAAACTAGTGTTCCTGAGGAATCTGTCACTTCCGAAGCAAATGATCTGCAGTCTCCTTGTGTGGGCTCAGCTTCCAATCCCAATCTACAGGTGGAAGCCGGAAATGTGAATACTGGTTTAGTGGCAGGAGTTGCCCCTGTTGATCTCAATACCCTTCCATGTGATCCCCATTCATCTCAGTCCACAAAAGTAAATAGTGATCCACTTTCATCAGCAGATGATGGCAGAAAGGGTAAAGTGTCAACTGATGATCGTTTGGCTTGTAAGTGTGAAAGTTGTAGGGCATCCACGAGCACTGCATCTCATAATAACAGCTCAACCCAGACTACTGCAATGAGTCCTAGTGCTTCCATTGACTGTTCATTTCCTGGGACATATACTATTGTTCATTCAGTGGTACCAAACAATCGTATTCCTTCATCTAAAAGGAGCTATAGTCACACTGAGGTAATGAGTGGTATGTTCCATAAGGGGGTCCGCTGTGATGGCTGTGGAGTATATCCAATAACTGGACCTCGTTTCAAATCCAAAGTGTAAGTGCATTATTATATTTGGATTTTGTGAAATAGCTTTCTGTGGTGTTTCCATGAATTTTATTGTTGTTTATGCAGGAAAGAAAATTATGATCTGTGCAGCATTTGCTTCAACGAAATGGGTAACCAGACTGATTACATCAGAATGGACCGTCCGGTGTCTGTTCGTGCCTCATCTCGTGTGCCACGATGCGTAAATGAACATATGCCAAAATTTGTAACCTCTTTGGATCACCGTTATCTCTTCTTTACTCCCTTTCTATCTTTATGTATTCACACCTCTTTCTTTTATGGTGCAGCCAACATTTCCGCCGCATACTTTTAAAACAGGTGCTATTTTGAAGCATGCTAAGCCAAAGCTAGATAGTCGGTTCATTTTGGATGTCAATGTCATAGATGGTACTATGATGGCTCCATCTACTGCATTTACAAAGATCTGGCGGATGCACAACAATGGCACCTTAGTGTGGCCCAAGGGAACTCAACTTGTTTGGATTGGAGGAGAAAAGTTTAGTGACTCTCATTCAGTTGACTTAGAGGTTTGCTAAATACTTATATTGTAGTTTAATCATTTCCTTAAGTTTGTAAGATTTTCTCTTGGTTTGTTTTGCTCAGTTGAAGAATTTGTAGTATGCCAGTTTTTTGAGTGCTCGCTCTGATTATACATCCCAGGTTCCTGAGAATGGTATACCTGTGGAGAAGGAACTTGACATTGCTGTTGACTTTATAGCGCCTCAGCTACCTGGCCGGTACATATCATACTGGAGGATGGCATCTCCATATGGACATAAATTTGGCCAACGTGTTTGGGTCCTTATACAGGTAAAATGGCAGTATTATACGCATTTTTTTCCTTTAAACATTTTTGGCTGAGAGGCAATTGGTGTTATTTCTAATAGTTTATTAATATTCTTATTCTCTTGCATTATCATGCTTTTTTGGCCAACGTGTGTGGGTCCTTATACGGGTAAAATGAGTGTTTTGAAGGCATTTTTTCCCCTTCATAAATTTTTGGCTGAGACACTAGGTGTTATTTCGAATGGTTTTTAATAATATTTTTACTCTCTTGCATAATCATACTTGCAGGTTGATGCCTCTCTCAAGGACTCATTTTATGATAGCTCTCAAGGTCTGAACTTGAATATTCCCCTCGGTGTCAGTGGATCCAAAGGGCCTCAGATTATAGATATTAATGTTCAACCTGTTGATGATGATACTTTTCTTCAACCCCACAATCCTAGTGCTCCCACTGAACCTGTGAATCAAATGGTTGATGAGGAACTGAGGCAGGAGCTGGAAAACAAATTAGCTATAAATGAGGCTACATCTGTTGGCCCTGCTGCCTCACTTCCCGCAACTTCTGCTGCACCTTCATCTGTTTCTTATCCTATTATCGATTTCTCTGAAACAGCCCCTGCTGTTCCTTCAAATCAACCATCCTCAGCTGTGGATGCTCCATCATCATCTCTAGGGATTGGTGGAAATAATTCTGTAGAAGAGACTCTCCTTAAAGAGCTTGAGGAGATGGGTTTTATGCAATTTGATTTGAATAAAGAGATCTTGAGGATGAATGAATACAATCTGGAGCAGTCAGTGGATGATCTCTGTGGTGTTTCTGAGTGGGACCCTATACTTGAAGAGTTACAGGAGATGGTAAGTTGTTTTCTGGACTGCTTTTTTATTTTGATCTTATTGATGCTTGTTATTTTATTTTTATCATCGAATGTCTTTGCTTTTATTGTTGGCCTGGATGCAATTTTGATTAGTCATGGGGTGTAAATGTAGGGTTTCCGTGACAAGGAGGTGAATAAGAGGCTGCTGAAGAAAAATAATGGAAGCATCAAACTTGTTGTTATGGATTTAATCAACGGAGAGTAGGTTTAGTTGAAATATCTGTTAATGCAATGGTGGTAAAGCATTTTCTTGAAGATGCTTAAAGCCTGGAACTCTACGTATTATCTAATTACCTGACTCGACCTTGTATTGTGGTGCTATTGTCCCCTAGCATTTGAACACTATTTGATCGATCTTATGTTGGATTTATCGTATGTATGACTCAACACTTTACTTTCGTATGTATATAAGTATATTGCTACATCGTTTTGGTTATTTATAGGTGAAGCCTTTTTTTGATTTTAAACAAGCTCTTTTTCTCATTATGCATTTGCAAGTTCTTTCTCCCTGTGGGGCGGGGTCGTCGAGGTTTGATGATTGGTCAAATCTTCCAATAATTGTAGGTTGGGCTGTGTTTAAAGAAAGGGTTGTTAACTGGGGCCTGATTACTACTTGAGGAGCAGTAACTACTGAAAAGGGTTGGTGGTTATTCATTTATTTATTTTACCAAGGCTTTAGTGCTTAATGCGCAAGGACGGTTTATTACAATTAGCTTCACAGCATCCTCCTGTCTCGTCTTTTGCTGTTTATAAGGATGTCTGAGAATTTTAGGGTTTTATAGCAACCAAGGAATCAAATTCAAATTTAATGCATAATATCAGGACGTGGAAACATTTAGTTCACTTGGTTTTTTTTAAGTTTAGAGCCAACTATTTGAAAGTTTCAGGGATTAAGTGCTGGTCTCGATTAGCTTTCGTCTAATTTAAGCGTCTATGTTTTTTCATAGGGATATATTTTTTTTATGTTTTTAAAAAAAGTTATCTTATTTGTAGAAATAAAAGTATAAGTGGGACCCACAGGTAAGAGGAGAGAGAAAAATATTTATTGGACCCAACCTCTTTTTATGTGTGTAGGAAAGTTGTTTATCTCATGTAAAATGAGATAAACATAACCCTTTTTCACAATTTCTTGTATGGATTTTTATTAATCTCATGTTAAATGAAATAAGTTATCTCATCTAGCATGAAAATAATTTTTTCCTTCTTGGGTTTTATTAATTTCATGTTAAATGAGATAAGTTATCTCATGTTATAGAGACAAACTTGTGGGCTCTACCACCTGAAAAAATAAAAAATAAAATAAAATAAAAAGGTTGCACGATTATCGAAGGATGTGTAGGAGGAAAAACTTAATATGAGAATAGTTTTTCCCTTCAAACTTATGGGTTAATATTTTCTCATGTTACATAAGAAAACATTTTTCTCCTACACACAAATCAATGGCATTGCCCACTTTATATTTTTTCTCTCTCATGTATTCTCTCTCCTCTACTTTGTATGTGTAGGAGATTAATCTTTTCTCATGTAACATGAGAAAAGATTAACCCTATGTATATAAGTGTTTAAAAACTCGGTCCGACCATCGATTCGACCGAGGTCAAGGATCATGAGGTAACGGGTTCAACTAGGGGGTCACGGGATTATATCGCTGACTCGATTTTATACATTAAAAAAATATGAATATATATTTAATATGAAAAATTCAAAAAAATTAAACCACCAATCATTAAATATTTAAAATATACTTAACATAATTCAACCAATTACATCCACAAGTCAATATTCACAAGCTAATCAAAGTATTAAACTATCAAAGAATAAAACACATATTCTAATGAAGTTAATGAAAAGTTATATCATCAAACTCATGCTCTTTTTGTCCTTCTCATGCACCTACAACAGTATGTGAGAGGAGATCCCTTACCCAATAGAGAATAGCGGAGGATAGGTTGCGACACGACAAATTAACGGTGGGGAGAGAAGAACCACACGATGGAGGAGATCATCAGAACAAGGAGACTGGGTCTGGAAGAGAAGATCGAAAGAGAAGAAGAAGAACGATTCACATTTCAGATCTAGTTCTAATTGTTTTTTCTTTTACACATCAAACGACGTCATTTCGTGTATAATTTTTTTTTTTTAAATGCAGTGACCCCTCTATTTGGGAGTCACGGGTTCAACCGGAAGGTTTCAGGAATTAGAAGGGTCAACGTGCAAGTAGAGTCTAATTACTAACTCGAACCCTCAGAGAGAGGGGTCAGTGACCCGGAGAGGTCGACCCCGGGATAAGGCGAAGTTTTAAAACACTTAGTGGCTTTAATGTTTCTCATTCTCCTACAAATATGTGAGGAGAAAAGAGAGATAAAAAAAGAAAATAAAGTATCTAATATTATTTTAGAAAATTTTGTCTAATGATCAACGAAACGACATCGTTTTAGGTTGAAAGATTAAAAAATTAGAATGATGAAGACTATTATAACCCTGAAATAAATTAAAATTACCATCACATGATTTTCGTCCCAAAACAACGTCGTTTCGGTAAATATTAGACAAAATTTTCTAAAGTAACATTAGAAAAAATGAACCTATAAAAAAATATATGTCCCACACACATTTACGTGTGTATAGAGATAAATTTATTTCCTATAACATGAGAAACACTATATATATATATATATATATATATATATATATATATATATAGGTGTTAACGGGTTGAGCCGAACCGAGCTTTGGTCTTAAAAGGCTAAGCCTCTGTTTAAATGTGTCAGCCTGACCAAGACTGTTACCTGTTATGAATATAATTATCGACCTATAGCCTAACTTATTTACAAAAAATAAAGCCTGATTTAGCCCATTTAAAAAAATTAAGACAACAAAAATTTATCCAAACAAAATATACAATCAAAAGCCCTAGTAATTCCATAAATATTCATAAATTCAATGTATACCCAAACAACATAATATAGAAAAAAATCATTCAAAAAATCTGTTTAACCTATAAAATGGGGTGCAATGGATTAAGGAGAGAGAAAATGTTATTACAAGTAGTATAAAAAATATAAAATAATTGGGGCTTCGCCCCTTAATGTTATCAAAAAAAAAAAAAAATATAAAAAAAAAATAAAAATTAATATACTGGGCCAGCCTGAGAGGCTCTAAGGTCGAACTTTTGAATTGGAGCCTGAGACCTTTTTATTAAACTTGCTTTTATACAGGTCCAAGTCTTGTTCCAACAATCAATTTTAGGCATGTAAGTTCATGCCTGCTTTAGATAACTTTATCTCCGACTACTAAATCATAACCGTACAAAAATGGATCAACAGTAATAAAGGAAGAGAGAGAAAAAGAGAACCATAACCATTCAAAGATGAATCAATTAATATAAGGAAATAAATAAATAAAACGACATAGTTTTGGAGTGACCGGAGAAAAATATATCTCAAGCAGCTTGAGAAATATTTTTCTTATATATATATATATATATATATATATATATATATATATATATATATAAGAAAAAACATCTATCCTTTTAATGGATATAAATTTATATCCTTTTAGATACTAACCGTTGATTTCCGTCCATCAACGGTTATAATCTATTGGGCCAAACTTAATGGGCCAAATTTATTATTAATTAATTAATAATTTTAATCCAATAAATTATAATCGTTGATAGACGAAAATCAACGGTTAGGATCTAAATGATATAATTTTATATCCTTTAAAAGAATAGATGTTATTCCCATATATATATATATATAGTCTTACAATCTCCTACAATGGATCACCGTTTAATTAATAGTTAGAAAATGAGATCAAATGAGACTTATTATATTAATTTTGATCCAATATTAATAAAATAATTATAAGGGGTTATAAGGTAAAAGAAATTGTAAATATAATTTAGACGAAGTAATCTAAATATTTTTTTTATTCATTAAGTCAAGTAATAATTTATTTTTAATGTTATAAAAAAGGCCGTCTACATTTATTTATTTTTTATGTTTTCAACTTGTTTCCCCCAATATCAAATACAAAAGTAATATAATAAATTATTTATTTTAGAGGTAAATTCCTGGGAAAAAATTTTAAATTTTTTTAGTGAAATTAATCAATTAATTATTCAAATCATTTGACCCTAAAAAGAAATAAAATTTTGTTAATTGTATAAAATATTAACATTTGTTTTTATTTTTTCAGCTTATTGCACAAATTTCGAATATAAAAGATATAATAATTTTTGATATTATATTTAATGCTTGAGTATATTAATCAGTTTTTTAAAGTTTGGCCAACTGATTCAGTGGAGGTACCGGATCAATCGGTATAATATAAATTATACAACAAATATTATAAGGTGTATTCTAATTAATAACTGAGGGTTTAATTCTAAACCAATGTGAAAAGTGAAATATTTTGTCCAATTTCTACAGTCCCTTTGTATGGTGGGAATGCTCTGGAATGGGATAGGGTAATCCCACCCATTGCATTTTGATTGGCTGAAAGTCTGGATTCTTCATTCTTATTGGCCAGTGGAAGAGGTGGAGCAGATCCAAGCTTGTGTCAGTCTCAAGTCTCACACTCTGAATTTTATCATATGTAGAGTCCCCAAATTATGAATCTCCTTTTACTAATTTCCCAAGTCCCAATTTTATCAATCCGGATTATAAAACACTGCAACTATTAAGTGATAGATAATATTATAACTGATATTAAGTGATAGATAATATAAAAATTTTCATCTTAACGTAAATTTATTTTTAAGTAAATAAGTAAAAATATATTTATAATTAATTCAAAAAAAATAAATATAATAATATTAAGGGAAAAACTATTCTCATGTCACATAAGACAAGTTTTCTCTCCTACACACTCTTCGATAATTGTGCCATCTTTTTCTTTTCTTTTTTAAGGTGGTGGAGCTCACTAGTTTGTCTCTATGACATGAGATAACTATCTCCTTTAACATGAGATTAATAAAACCCTAATATTAATTATTTGTTTTTGATGTAAATGAAAATAGTTTTCTAATTTTTTTAATTTTTCATATGAAATGAATGAATGAATCATTCAAATGATTTGATCCTAAAGAGTTGTGATGCTGGTTATTGGGTTATAATAATTTGCAAAATTATTATTTTTGGGTTTGGGCTTACTAGTACTATTTCTGGCCCGTATGATTTGTTGAGTTATTATCACTATTTTTACTTTTACAAATTTCACCCGGATTAGCTTTTTTCGTGTGTACTTTTTGTAAAAAACAAACAATAGGAATTTAGCTCTCTCTTTTCTCAAAGGTTCCCTTTTCTGGTTTATGGTTTTCTTCAATCATCTTAGTTAGTTCTCTACTCTTTTTGTGAGTGTGTGTTTTCTGTGAGAGTAGTTGCAAGTGTGGTACCATGATCTAGGGTCCTTCCCTAGGTTGATTGTGCGGTATATTGAGAGAGTGAGGCTTTGAGGTTATCGTGAAGAGGTGTTGTGTTCTTTTGGGTTTAATCTCTGTTTAGCAGGTGAAAATAGGTTTATTCTTGAGATTCTTGTTCGAGTACAGAACCAGTGGTATCAAGAGCATAGGTTCTTGGGCCTGTGTCATAATTTTTTTATTTCTTGCTCTCTGTTTTTTTCTAATCCATCTTCAACAATCTTTGTGTGCTATTTGTCGCTGGTGTGTTCAAGATGGGAGGTACACACGTGGAGGTGGAGAAATTCAACAATAAAGGCGACTTTAACATGTGGAGGATCAAGATGAAAGTTGTCTTGATCAATAACAAATGTGCCAAAGCAATAGGAGAGGAGAAAGACTTACCTGTGTGAAGGAAAGTCTGATATGAAAGAGTTAGCCCATAGCTTGATTGTTCTCCATCTCACTGACAATGTCCTTAGACAAGTTAGTGAGATTACTAATCCCTACCAACTCTAGACTAAACTTGAGTCAATATACTTGGTGAAATCTTTATCTAATAAAATGTACCTTAAGGAAAATTTTATAAATTTTAAAATGGATGTTAACAAGACTATTGATGAGAATCTTGATGAATTCAAGAAACTCACCTTGAGCCTTGCTAATGCAGATTCTAAAGTGAGTGAAGAGGACCAAATTGTGGTTCTCTTTTAACTCTCTCCCAGATTCCTATAAGGACGTGAAGGCTGCCATCAAGTATGGCAGGCCAAATATGACCTTTGAAGAGGTTATAGAGGCTCTTAGAGCCAAGGAGTTGGAAGTTTCAGCTTATAAAAAATCATCTGGGTAAGGGCTGGTTGTTAAAGGGAGATGTAGCATGAAGGGGCGTGTAAATACCAAAGGGGAGGCTAGTAACTTCAATCATAATGGACAAAATAAGTCTAACAGTCATAATAGTCAGTCCAAAAATGGTGCATACCATGAAAGAACAAAGCATATAGATGTTAGGCTGCATTTCATGAGAGATGTCATTTCAAATGGTCAAGTACTTGTTGAGAAAATTCATACTGCTTATAATCTAGCAGATATTTTAACTAAAGTAGTCCCTGTTAACTAAAACCTGTTAACTATAGTATGGGTGGGCGATTGTTAGTGACTTTCAATAGACTCGCCATTTATGCAACAAGCACTCATTTTGATTGAGTCCGCTAAGATTTTTGCATTTTGTCAAAAAGTTTTATATGCAATTGAACTTGCGTAACTGTATATATGACTTGGGCTGTATGAACTTTATCAATTTTAGATTTCTTTTTTTTTTTCTCAAGCACTTTTCATGTTTTTTCAATATAACACATCAGAGCTTGCAAGCTGTTGCATTAGGGGATGTGTTAAAGAGGTAATAATATAAAATTATTGAAGTTCCATCACTTAACGACTTGAGCATTTTGAATGAAATGATTATTTTAAACGAATCAAACCGCCATCAGATCACCTTTTAGGTTGAGATCCATTGGATCACCAAGAACCAAGAGCCAAACAGAATTCATAGAACAAATAAAAATCCAAATCTAACTATCTCTTTTTGATGTCCTATAGGTCTGAATTATCTATTGAGAACTCAGTACCCTCAACACGGTACAACAGTGTGTCGTATATCAAAATCGGCAATCAGAGGTTGGCCTGTGCGTAGCATAAACGATAAACGCAGAAGGAGAGAGAAACATAGCAATCTTTTAACGTGGGAAACATTTTCCAATGTGAAGAAGTAAAACCCATGAGATACTAGTTCAGAATCAAACTTACACTATATAAATAATGAGTTACAAGAATAAAAAAAATCTCACGAACAAATGGTGATACACTCAGAACTTACCTATAATGGTGGTATTCAAACTTCTCTCTAGATGTGCTCACACAAACAAAGCTCTAAGCTTTTCTTTAAATCTCTCTAAAAAATGTCTAACCCTAACCTCTCATATACCACAAGCTTATATAGGAGAGAAAAAGGGTTCTTGACTATTAAAAGTGGAAACTATTGTTTTTTGAGTTCAACAAAAGTAACGTTGGACCTTATACAACATTGAGGAGGAAAAGTCCAACATTATCAAATTACCAAATCAAGAACTTACCAAATGCAATTGCAAAGCTTACAATTTTCAAAGGTCACTTCTGTTTTCCGAAAAATGAACATTAATGATAATCCAGCGCGGAGTCCTCTATCATGGTTGGGGAAGAACAATAGAAGAGTGTAACCTTTCTCCAGGTTTTGATTATGTCGGGGGCATTAAAAGAAAATTTTAGTGTTTTACATTTATGTTCATAATATTTTTTATGTGCTAATGGAAGAGTTTTTAATAAAAATAATTAATATTAATTTTTAAATATAAAAATAGAATTCAGTTAAGTTTATGAATGTATTGTCTTCCCTAATCAATGTTTTGGACTTTCATTGTTGGCAAATTTATTTTATTTTATTTTAATGTTTGAAAGGTTAAGAGGAAGGGAAATTGTCTCGTTCTAATTCACCGCCAAGAAACCCAATATCTTCTTAGCTGCCTTATTCAATGCTTATTAGGGAAGCAAACACTGCATGGTGTCTCATTCTTGTTTTTTGTCAAATCAAGTGCAGTGTTGAGTCCACGTCCAGCTAAACAGTAGTTCTTTTATGAAAGTGAGGCTCTCTATTAGTACAATTTCGGGACCATAAGGCTCTCTCAAAACGTGGCTAGAATTCTATTCTCTTGGATGGTATCCTGATAGTGTTTCCAGAATAAATGTGTGAACTGACATCCAAAATTAAAAGTTATAGTAAAGGAATTTCTCCCTCTCTAAACAACTTGCCCATAATAATTGTACCTCTGTATTCTGCAGCTATTTTCAATTATTCACATGTCAATTCTAGCGATATATCAGGATTATGATCCACCCTTTTTTCATTACAATATGAGATATATTATCAGCTCCATTCTTTTTTTGGACACATGTTAAATCCAATGTTCTACTCTGTCCCTTCCGGTATTGAATGTTTGAGGAATGGAATCTAAATTACTAGTTGAATCAACTTTTGGAATTGGCAAAAGCCAGGGAATTAGATTCAATCCTGTCAATTTGAGAATAAAATAAAGCATGTATATCTGCCATTCTGCCTATAAGTTGCACCATGTGCTAGTAGGATTACTCATGTGCTTATTCCTGTACTTGTGAGCAAAAACCAACAAAGAGCATAGCAATGTTGCGCTCTCAGGACTACCATGCCCACATTTCAAAAGTGCACAGGACTCCCAGTGTTCTCCCTGATGTCCCTCGGTACCCCAATGCTCACCAGGTCTTCACCAAGAAGGTTAACTCTGAGGAAGATAAGGGATTCAATGGTGGGCATCACAACCCACAAACTCGTGAGAGGCTTGCAGTGGTAGAAGAGTATGAGCAAACCACGGTTCCTGAGAATGGGGTTGCTGAAGTCATCTACGAAGAAAACGTGGATGCTGAAACCAATCAGGACTACCCTAGGAAGAACAAGGGTGGCTTTGAATTGCAAAAGTGGAAGACCTTTAGGCTTTAAGAAGCTTATTATGATCATGAATCCAGTTTGCTACCCAGGTTGCCTAATATACCAAAATCAGCAATATGCTTGTGTGAAATAAAATGCCTGCTTTGCCAGCCATTATGTATGTCAAACTAGGAATGGTGTTTTATACATGTAGTACTTAACTTTTCCATGTAAGAATTATTAATGAAGCATATAGAGCAGTATATCTGCAATATATTTTACACAAAAATACATATTTTTGCCGATTAGAAAATTATAATTATAAAGACTATAATAACTCTGAAATAAATTAAAATTATAAAAACACCATGATTTCCGCCCAAAATAATATTGTATTGGACTTATTGCAGATAAGTTTATGATAACTTATCTGTAGTAACGGCAGAAAATTAAACCGTATATTTTAATTAGCATAAGATGGTTTATTGTTTATTTCAACTTTACCTGTTGTGACTTGAGTACCAGCATCCTCACACATCCTTCAAACAAAACAAAATCAAACTGATGCTATTAGACATCGAAAACAAAAAAATAAAAGTGGCTATTTTAATAAAAGAAGATGAAACTCATGTGTTATTTTCCTGTGGGACTTTGGAGGCATTAAATCGCCTAGAAGACATATGATTAAACAGATTCCTGAGGCTATTCTTACTCTCCTGTTTACGCCTTGTTTGGATTCGAAAGGAACCACATAAGTCATCAAATGGGTTATCTAAAGCCAACCCTGTTTCTATCCTTCTGGACACTGTCACGAGCTCATAGGAGTCCCAAAGTGACTGCTGAAAATTCCAATGAGTGGAAGGGCTTGTGTCCTTAGTTGATGACTTGTTTAATGCTTCGAGCTTAAACCTTGAAGGCTTGCCATGGAAATTTCTTCGACGTGCATCAAATTCACTCATAGGCCTAGAACTACCCGAGTGGCTGTACCAGGCCTGTGCAACGGCCTTCAATATTTCCAAGTCTTGGTGATGTTGTTCTTCAAGCTCTTGCCTCTTCTTCATTGCGTACCGTGACTCTGAGATAGCTTTGTCTTCATTGGGCCATGGCCATGTTACTAGTTTCGAGGATATCACTGCCTCACAACTGCTACAAGGAAAGGGATAAGCTGAGACACACGGAACTTCTCTTCTGGTTGATGAGAAAGCGATTTGTCTTTGTTATCCTAATTTTTGTGACTATGGGATGCAAAAGTAACATGAGTGGCCATTTGGTCAGTGCCAAAGTGGAATATTCATTTATTTATTTTTCTCTTAATTAGGGTTGCAAAAGTAATTATTTACTCGACGTGAGTGATATATAATTTTGATAAAAGGTTAAAATTAATAAATAGTTTGAAAATAAAAATAAAGTGGTAAAAAAAAATTAAACACAAAGCCACAATGATCAATTATCCTCCAACTTCGATAGCTGCAAGCGAGCAAACTTTTGGTGCAACGGTGGTGTATACCACTTCCTTTCAAAATCTACTACTTACATATATTTTTTTATTTTTTATTTTTTTCATCTCACTTTCATCTTCTCTCTATTTTTGATTGGTGTTCCCTACTGAATATATGGTACCACCGTGGTACCTTAAAAATTTCGGCTGCAAGCAATGGGGAGCTATGAAATTTTTGGAAAGGGGACGAAATTATACTATAAAATTTTCCTTTAAATTTATGATTAAGTGATAAAAAATAAAAATAGAAATGATTGTTACATTACAACTAAAGGCCTATGTAGATTTTTAAAGGAGGGGGAATTAGATATATGACAAAAAAATAAAAAATAAAAATAATTATCATTTCTCAAAATTTATATAAATTTGAAGAGAAATGAATGCCTCGCTAATAGAGGTGGCAAAGTGGGCGGCCCGCCCCGTCCCGCCATCAACCCGTCAAAAAATGAGTCAGCCTGTCCCGCCTCGCTTTTGGAAGTGGGTTCAAAAACTCAGCTCGCTCCGCCCCTTTTGGCGGGTTGAGCGAGTTGGCCCGCTAGCCCGAGCCTATTTTACATTGACCCGCCTCGGCCCGCCTATGCCCGCCATCAACCCGCCAAAAAATGAGTCTGCCCCGCCCCGCTTCACTTTTGAGATGGATTGAAAAACTCAATCCGCCTCGCCCCATTTAGCGGGTTGGCCCGCCGAGCCGAGCCCGTTTTATCAGCTCTACCCGCTAACCCCTCGCTCACTCCTATCACTCACTACAAGTGTCATTCCTGATTCCTCTATTCCTAAAAACATCTCATTTTATTTTTTCTAGTTTCTTCATTTGTTGGTGCCTATCCAAATCTTTTATATATCTTTCTTTGTCTTCCATCTTGTCTCAACAATAATATACATTTAGAAAAATTAATGCCAACTAAGACAGAAGAAACAAAGTTCTAGAGAGAAGTGTAATTTTTTAATAATATTTTAGGAAGAAAGAAAACAAGAAAATTGAATCATATTCGTGGATTTGTCAAATTTAATATAAGAAATTTTATTAAATAACATCATATGAAAATATATTTTTGTGTGTGCAAAATTATAAGACCATTTATTTTAGTATACGTGTATGTATGTTGATAAGAATAGGTCGAGAGAGATTTAGCACCCATTTCAAAATCTCAATCAAGGAAATGTTACAATGTTATAAAAATCGGACTGACCCGGCTGGGTTGATCCAAAAACTGATGAATCGGTTATGTAACCGATTCGATTTTTATATCGGACCGGCTATGTTACAGAACCGGTGTGATCCCGTGCGACCCGGCCGGTTTTCGTAAAAACTGGTGACCCGGCCTGGTCTATAAAAAAAATTAATTTATTTTCATAAATTAATGTCTTCTTTTTTTTTTTACTCTCAAACACAAATGATTTGTTTTCTTTTAAAATATTTGAGTGATTTATAACTTATTAACTTACATAAATTATGTTTCTACAACACTAATATTATCTTGATTATGCAATATGCAAGAAATTTTGATTTGATTTATAGTTAGAGATGTCGTTTACTCAACTTGAAACCCTAGTATCACAAATATTATATGTTTAATTGATCTTTTGTTGGACAATGATGTGTAATTTATTATTTTCATATTAAAATATTTGAAATTGGTATATTTTTTTACAAGTATTTAAGTATATTTATAGTTTTTTTAATATAAATTGTAGATTTGCATATACTTACCGGATCATGCGATTGAACCAGTAACCCACTAATTAAACCAGTGACGCAGTACCTTGACCGGGTCAATAATCGGGTCTAATTTAATAACATTGGTTACATGCGTTAGATCTTTTGGTCTCGGTGTGATTCAACTTTTAGTAAGACAAATGTTCAATGCAGCAGTGCTTGAGTTTACGCAATGATGGGAGGCTAGCAGCAGCACCACTAAAAGGCTGATAAGCATTGACCTTGGCAATCTTGAGTTTTCTTGAACACAAACATAACATCAGAGTCATGTAAACTTGCGACTTCTTTTAGCAAGCCAACTGATAGGTATTAACAGGAACTGTTTACTTTCTGATCTTCCCATTGAGTCGGAGTGCCTGGTATTTTAGTTTACTTGAGGGCGGAACAACAAACTAACATTGGAAGCCATAACAGCGTTCCCCCTCAAAAAATATTTTCATATTATGAATTGTCAAGCATGGACATCCATCTCCGATTGAAAAACATAAAAGCTGGAATGTGTAAATCTTTTTAAAAATAGCTATTAAATATTAATGATAACATTACAGGCCATACATGAAAATTTCTTACAGTTTCAAGAATATTCTAGGGATCAAGTACCAGCCATGCGACTCTCAGCTGAACCAAAAAGTTCAGAGATTTTATTATGCTTACGTACATGGTGAGGACACTTGTACAATAGATCTTTGGCCTCAGAGAATCTACCTTCTCGGAATAAGGATTCAAAAACCTGAAGGTAAACTGCAAGCGACGGGTAACTTTTTATACTCAACGCCTTCAGGAATTCTGCAGCATCCTCCACTGTCCCAAACTTTGAAATATACGACACAAAGGGTTCATGATATGGAGGGTAGTTGTGGGTCTTCATCAATCGAAGAACATCAAGTGCCTCTTCAAACTTCCTGACTAATAATAGCTTTTCAATCAGTTTCTTATATGTAGCTTGCCACGGAGATATACGACACTTACTACTTATCTCTACAAGCAATTTGTATGCGCCATCTATTCTATTTTGACCAAGAAAACCATCCACCAGAACGTTCAACAAATCAGCATCTGCATCACAGCCCTTTTCAATCATCTTAGCAAAACAAAGCAATGCCTCATCTACTTCATTGGCATCACAATGCCCTTGGATCAAGATGGTCCAAGTCTTGATATCAGGGATGCATCCACAAGATTCCATCTCCTCCAGCACCTTACATGCTTCTTCAAACCTCCTCCTCTTACACAGTCCAAAAACAACTTGACTGTAGGTGATGTTATCAGGCTCATAGCCAGCATTTCTCATAGTCTTGACAATATTTTCAGCTTCTTCAAATTTCCCAGCACTTGTCAAAGACCTGTGGATTCCATCGTAAATTGCTTTGGAGAGAGTATGCCCTGTTGACTCATATTTCTTAGCTACCCTGAAAACTAAATCCAAATTTGGCTTATCACTTGCAGAGATCCTATTTAAGATTATACTACAATCCTGAACTGATGGCTTATATGAACCATCCATCATAAGCTCATAAAGTTTGACAGCATCCTCCATCATCTTACTCTTTTGAAGCTGCCTTGATATCTTTATGTAAGTATCAATATCCAATTCATGACCCACTCTGTTCATCTCCTCAAGAATACTCCAAAACTCGTCAATTGAGTCAGTCCTGGCAAGAACTCTTGCAATTGCATTGTAAGTCACTGTACTATGCTCATAACCAGATTGCTTCCCAACCCAATGAAAGAACTTGTAAGCATTTAAAGGACAATTTCTAAGCTCTTTCAAAACCCTTATTACAAAATTATCAGACACTTGAACCTTAAGCTTTTCCAGTTCATTGGTAACCTCATCACCCCACTCTGACCCTGAAATGATACCAACCACCTTGGTGACAACACTTTGCATTGTATTATCCTGAAGCATCCGATTATAGAAGTGGGTCAGAGCCACAGAATCACTGTTCATCTTTGCCTTTTTAAAGCCCACAGAAATTGTCAAATAGGTCTCCTCATCAAGATAAAACCCTTTTTCCTTCATCATCCTTAGAGTAATCCAAAATTCCTTCATCGTCTCGTTATTGGCTAAGACTCTAACAATTAAGCTATACACAGATGAACTTGCTCTAAACCATTCTTTCTCACTGACCCAATTGAAGAAAGACGAAGCTTTTTCTGGATTTTTATCCAATCGCTTCAAAACGTAAAGAACAGTTTCATGGGTCAGAGATGGGCAACATTTTTCTAACTCGTGCTCCAACCCTTGGGACCAATCGTTGGTCAGAACAAGCTCCACAATGGAGTTCGGTTTCGAAGAAAAGTAGAGTTTTTGGTGAGTGTTGGAAAAACGTAACTCGTTAGACCCACCCAGAAGGGTTATTGGAGTATAGGGAGTGAAGTGAGTCACCTGGTTCCGAGTTGCAAGAACTCGGGTAGCGAACAACGAGTCCAGGAATCTGAGGGAAGCAGCTATTGCCTTCACGCGGTTCATCGCTTCGTAAGAGGGAAAAACGCAAACGTTGGAGCGCTCTAAAGACGAAATCGAAATGGACGCTGTTATTGTTAGGGAGGGTTTTAGTTTAACGACTGGTTTTGTGGGTATGGATCCAGTTCATGGGCTTTCCATAACCCGACTCAATAGCCCAATTAAATCTTCTGGCTGGGCTAAGCCTAATTGATTGCAACACTTACCACTCACTGTGAATGAAGTTTTGGAGGATTAAATGCATATAGACGAGATTGAAGAGAGCTTTTAAAATTTACCTGTATAATGTTTTGGCATAATAGATAAAAAGTTTATAACTTTAGTATATTAACTTGAATAGTCATTTTTCTAATTTTAAATTATTATTTGTTCTTTTGTCGCAAATTTTTTTGAAAGAAACAATAAAGTGAAATTAAAAAGGCATAAAGTAATCAAATTCTAGTAGCTCAGTTGGTGCATGGAAACTGAACATGTGGGGATAAGAGCATGTCTTCAATCTTCTCTAGTGCCATCTTTGGAAGGAATTTAAAGCATTAATACTGTATTTGTCTTAAATCGAACTAGTTACCAAGCGATGAACAAATAGAATAAAAAATAAAAATAAAAAAACAAAGTAGGCAAATTAGCATCAAATTTTGTGAGTAATTCTAACATCCTTCATAACATTGCCTTATACTAGCTAGTAGCTACGACATCTGAAGTTAGCAACGAGGAAAAACTTCATAACATAACCAAAGCAAAACAATGGAAAGCTTAACATAGGTCAATGTTTTAGTGAAAATGATAATACCCTATAATGTACTCACACTTCAAAAACTTACGTATCATATCCGATATTTTCTGACACTTTTCAAAACTCCGACACTCCAACACGCATTGCAGAGATTCAAAAAAAGATTTAAAAGTTGCATTATGTTACTTTTTTAGTTCCAATTATTAGATTCATTGGATTATAATTATTATTTTATTGAATTTAATATAAATATTTGAAATATCTTATGTTTCTTTGATAAATTAATGAATATTATAAGTTTAGTTCCATTTTTTTGTTAAATTATTGAATATTAAATATAATATATATTACATAAATAAAAAATATTATTTAATATTAAAACGTATTCTAATGTATCAAAATTTAATATTTTTTAAAATTAACATTACATGTCGAAATATTATGTCGCATCCTGTATCGGTGTAAAATAAATAACACCATTCTAGCTCCAAAACGGGTAGTCAACTCAGGCACTCGTAAAAAAAACCAGAATAAAACTGTAAAATTGCAAACCATGATTTACTACAAAGATATCAGCGGAACTTGATAAAAATGAACTAATCTTAGAAGCCGAAACAGCGCTCCTACCTCAATTTTTTTTCTCCCAATTATGAGTTCTCAAGCATGAACATATCCATCTCCGATAGATGAACATAGAAGCTGGAATTCGTAAACCTTATAAAAAATTGCCATTAATATATGACATCACTGGTTTGTACAACCCAGGCTCTCCACCGTGCAAAGACCAAATCCACCAAAGAGCTCGATCAAACTTTATAATTGTGATAAGTTAGGTGCAACTTGCAAATATAAGTCTAGGAGAAAAGAAGTTGTCCCATTTCAAGGTCAGGACATGCCACAAGTCAAGAGCTACGTGATAACCAACCAATGAATGACCACCATGAATCAAAATTGTTGAAAAGTATGTCAATATCATAAATAGGGTGATAATATCCTGCAATTACGTTAATTAGGATATTTGATATTCTTGTAATTACTAGCTCTTTTACAATATTTACATACTTTCTAACAGAATCCAAGACCTTTGACTTTTACTAGTTCAATCCTACCAGTGGAACCAATCTTCACTTGCATAATTGTAGTTATTTGAAGAAAGATGAGATGCATATCAGCGGGGTAAAATTCTCAGTATCAAGTAGCAGTCATACGATTCTCTACTGAACCAAAAAGTTCACGGATTTGTTTACGTTTACTTATATGGCGGCGACACTTGCACCATAGATCTTTGGCTTCAGAGAGTCTACCTTCTCGGAAGAATGATTCAAAAACATGAAGGTAGGCTGAATGGGACCGGGGACTTCCCTTACTCCATGCCTTCAGGAATTTTACTGCATCCTCTACGGTCCCATACTTTGAAATATACTGCACAACGGGTTCGGTGAATGGAGGATACTTGTGTTTCCTCATCAAACAAAGAAGGTTAAGTGCCTCCTCAAATTTCCCGATTCCTAATAGGTTTTCAATCAGTTTCTTATACGTACCATGCCACGGAGATGTACTGCGCATGGTAACAATCTCTACAAGCAACTTGTATGCATCATCTATTCTCTTTTGATTAAGAAAACCGTCAACCAGAGCGCCAAACACAGCAGCATCTGCACTATAGCCCTTTTCAATCATCTTACCAAAACAAAGTAATGCCTTATCTATTTCATTGGCAGCACAGTGCCCTTGGATCAAGATGGTCCAAGTCTTGATATCAGGGATGCATCCACAAGATTCCATTCCCTCCAGCACCTTACATGCTTCTTCAAGCCTCCTCATCTTACAAAGTCCAAAAACCACTTGACTGTAGGTGATGTTATCAGGCACATAGCCAGCATTTCTCATAGTCTTAACAATATTTTCAGCTTCATCAAATTTCCCAGCACCTGTCAAAGCCCTATGGATTCCATCGTAGATTGCCTTGGGGAGAGTATGCTCTATGGACTCATATTTCTTGGCTACCCTGAAAACTAAATCCAAATTTGACATATCATTCGCAGAGATGCTCTGTAAAAGGTCACTGCAATCCTGAACTGACGGCTGGTACGAACCATCCATCATAAGCTCATAAAGCTTGACAGCATCCTCCATCATCTTATCCCTCTGAAGCTTCCTTGATATTTTTATGTAAGTATCAATGTCCAATTCATGATCCACACACTTCATCTCCTCGATAATACGCCAAAACTCTTCAATTGAGTCAGTCCTGGCAAGAACTCTTGTAATAGCATTGTAAGTCACTGTATTATGCTCATAACCAGATTGCTCCCCAACCCAATGAAAGAACTTGTAAGCCTTTAAAGGACAATTTCTAAGCTCTTTCAAAACTCTTATTACAAAGTTATCCGACAGTTGAATTTTAAGCTTTGCTAGTTCATTGGTAACCTCATTACCCCATTCAGACCCTGAAATAATACCAACCACCTTGGTGACAACACTTTCCATTGCATTTTCCTGAATCATCCGATTATAGGAGTGGGTCAGAGCCACATAATCCTTTTTCATTTTCTCCCTTCTAAAACCAGCTAAAATTGCCAAATAAGTCTCTCTATCAAGATAAAACCCTTTATCCTTCATCATCCATAGAGTAATCCAAAATTGTCTCACCGTCTCCTTATTCGCTAAGACTCTAAGAATTAAGCTATACACTGACGAACTTGCTCTAAACCATTCTTTCTCACTGACCCAATTGAAAAAAAACGAAGCTTTTTCTGGGTTTTCATCCAATCGCCACAAAACGTAGATAACAGATTCATGGGTCAGAGATTGGCAACGTTTTCCTAACTCACGCACTATCCTGTCAGACCAATCTCTGATCAAAACAAGCTCTGCAATGGAGTTCGGTTTCGAAGAAAAATAAAGCTTCTGATAATTGTTGGGAAAGCGATCCACAATGGGAGATGGAGTATAGAGAGAGAAATGAGTCACCTGATTCCGAGTGAGTTCCAGCGACCGAGTTGCAATGACTCTGATGGCGAGTGGCGAGTCGAGAAATCTGAGGTTAGCACCAATTGCCTTTAACCGATTCATTCCTCAACGAATGTTGGAGCATTGCATTCCCAACACCTTAGTCAAAATCGAAATGAGTGCTAAGGATGGTTTAACAATCGGTTTTGTCGGGTACGGGTCCAATCCATGGGCTTGTAATAACCCCATTGTAGTAGCTTCATTTATTTTGGGGCAGTGAGTGGGTTGAATGAAAGGGGAAAACCAACCCAGTTAGTCTACTTTGGGCTAAATCTGGGCCTAGGACAGGCCTTGCTAATTGATTTTTGTATCCCTCTTTAAAAACTGAGGCCTGTTTTTAATCAAGATAAATTTAATACGTAATTCCCCCAAACAAATTCTCATAAAAGTTATTTATAAAAAATGAATATTTAATAGCCATAAGACCGCTATGTTTAATGCATTGCATTATTCCACAGATAAAACCTGATTATTTTTTATTGTATATCTTAGGATGTCTCACTTTTTTTTAAGTGAAACTTATTTTTTTTATCATAAAATAATATGATTTAAGTTAGTTCTAGTAGTAACATTGTGCAACTTTTTGTGATTAAAAGAAATATGTTAAATTCAATTATCATTTGTGCTAAAAAAATTATTCTGGCTAGTTTATATTTTTTTTTTCGTAATAAATACTTTAAGTTGGACTAAGGATGGATTCTGATTCAATACAAAACTCATGAATTCGTATAAAAAAAAGGAAAACCTCATGAATTCGGCCCTGAAGCTTAATAATAATAAGAATAATAAAATGTAACTCCGTTCTCAAACCGTACTAGAGTTTATTTTTGTTCTATTATTAATGTAATTTTTTTAATTATTCATTTTGCATGGTCTTAATTAATGTTAAAAGTTAAGCTCTTTTAATGACGTGGAGATACATAAATAAGTGATATTAAAAAAAAAAAACTTTTTCCAGTTATATTACATCAAATTAAATTTGTATCTCTTATTTAAATGGGGTAACTAATGTATCAAAAAAAAAATGGGGTGACTAATTGTTTTTTTTTTTACTAATCAAATTAATTCAACTAATATTTAATTAAACCCCAATCGTCCTTTAACTGTAGTAATATATTAGCATAATCCGGTTAGTTTAGTTAGATTGATAAATCATCTTTTTGGTTACATACGCACATTAGTTAATGATATATAAGTTATTCTTTCGTGTATATATATACACTATATATTGGCTTTTATTTAGACCTTTAGTTAGAGAATTGATCCTAAATAAAGGTAACGATTCATATTGGAGAATGATATTTTAAAAGTGAGTTTAGAATAGTTGGTTTTGTTTTAGATAATGAAGTAGAATAACTTTTCAAGCGTTAATATATATATATATATATATATATATATATATATATATATATATATATATGTTTTTAAAAAGTTTATAGGTTATACACCTAAAATCAATTCTACTCAACAGAAAAATTAAAAATTTATACTTCTTTCAAAATCAACTTTACTCACTGGAAACTTGATTTTGATAACCCTAAATTTAACAAAACAACAAAATAAGTTTACAAAACCAATTTACATGACCGCAAATATGATTTTAACTTTTTAAGGTAAAAAGGAACATATCTTTACTTTATTAATTTCTTGTTTTTAACTTATATATATTATTATTGTTATTATTATTCTCGCCATATTTCTCAAAGTGGATGAAGAACCACTTTGTATCCAAAACTCACTAATTAATTATACAAAAATTGACTTCATGACACAAAAACTTGTACATGATGGAGATGCTGTCAAAACTCAAAAGAGTGTGAATTGTGAACAAATAATACACATGGGTTCTCCTGTTCGGCAAAAGTGCAAGGACCACCATGTATACAATGTGTGGCGTAGGGTTTCCACTTTCCAGTTTGTATATGGAATCACCAGAATTGCCTTGCACGACAAGTTTGCACCCACATTTCTAATTTCATTTCTGAACTAAGGGCGTGGCGTGCCAGTGTGGGGTCATTTTGCAAATAAAACACAACATGTCAACATGTCACGTTTTCTTTTAGATAAAGCCATTAGGTCATGCTTTTATTTTATTTCCATTTGTTGTTATTATGGTGAAGTGTTTCCACTACGCAAACGCAATGTGGTGGTCCTTTGACACTGTTGCTGGCGGTCCACCCCACGGGCCACATTCACAGGCCCATAATCCTTTTGTCCTCCACGCAATTCGTTCCACTTACGAATTTTATTTTTTTGTTTGTTTTTAGTTAAATTTCTTAACTGGTTTATTAAAAACCTAATCAGTTTTAGTTCAAGCACTGTTATTGAGCAACAGGACTTTATTTCACTTACGGGATGTACTTTTTTTTTTCGTTTTAAGATACCAGGGGTTAAGCAAGGTCTCGGAGTGAGTTTATCTTGGTTCAAATTTAACCTTATATTTTGTCTGGGTTATTTTTCATTTTAAAGCCGACTTGATTATCATTAATTAATGTATGAATTAAGATTATAAAAATTAATACTTAAATAAAATGCAAAAAATTATATATTATTATAGTTAAGTTATAAAATTTAATAATAAGAAAAAATCTTATAAGTTATACATGATGTCAAAATATTAATTTAAGTTAAAAATCTTATAATTTAATATTATTATTTTTTAAAATTATATTTTTATAATATTATTAATAAGATGAAGGTTGTATTACAATCTATTTTCGTTTATAATCTCTTACAATTATATTTTAACCGTTGATTTTCGTCAATCAACGGTTATTATTTTCGTAAATCAAATTCATTAATTAATTATTAATTCACAATAAATAATAACTGTTGATTGACGAAAATTAACAGTTAAAATATGATTGTAAGAGGTTATAAACAAAAATAGGTTGTAACCATAACTTACGTCTATTAATAATAAATCAGTTTGGGTGAATGTAATTCAAACTCGACCTAAAAACATATCAAAAACTTAAACTTGGACTCAATTAATATTGAGTTGCGACAAATTATTGAGTGCAGTCGAGTTAGAACTTGAAATTTTTTTTTTTTTTTGGTAGAACAAGAGTACCCAATTCAGTACTCCTTTTTCTTAAATAGGAAAATTTTTATTTCATTTGAATTCATACATCTATATTTTTTTTTAAGTCCTAATTTTTTACCCTTTTTAAAGAGATGTAGGCACTCGGAAATACCGAAAAATCTCTCCCCTCCAAGATATAATAACAAAGGATAATGTTCCAAAATGAGAATAATTTGAGATGGCCACAAGAAGAGTTTTCTTACAAAATTTGTATTTCTCATCACCTTCTATAATGTTTAAACAAGAAAGTTTTTCATAAAAATCACTTAAATTCTTTAGTTAGAGAACAAGCCAATACGAAGATAATAGAGAACATACCAATAACAAGAATCTTGTAGAAAACAAGCTCAGTAAAACTTCATAAAACCCTTATTGAATCTTAAAAATATACCATCTTATGGCATATATGAAGATCCATGTTGATCGAGATTCTTCTTCCATGTATGCTTTCACTTCTTTCTTTTTTTGGGTAATTGTATGCTTTCACTTCTTATTTATCCAATAGTCCGTTTTCAATTCTTAATTGAGGAAAGCAATTATTTAACTCGATAAAACAACCTAATTTTTTTTTTTGCAGATATATATAATGATTAATGAATATGTAATTGGAATCGGCCTTGAGATATATAAAATCATTAATGTAGTCTCACCCAACAGCTTAAGTTTTTTGGTTGAATTGGTTCTTTATATGGTATAAAAGTCTCGGTGTACCAGGTTCGATCCTCACTACCCACTTTCTTTCAAATGAAATTTCTATTTCTCTCTTCGCAGTCCAGTGGGGCTCTCGTGTGAGGGGGCGTGTTGAGATATATAAAATCATTAATGTAGCATCACCCAACAACTTAAGTTTTTGAGTTGAATTGGTTCTTTACGGTTGGGATGAAGTTGATGGAAGCTCTGATCCATATAGCTGGCGCAAATCATTTTAAATTATTACATTGGTGTTAATTACAATCAACAGGATGCTTGTACTAAAAAAATGTTCTAATTACTGATCCTTAACTTCTATATGTGCGCAGACACTTTTTTTTTTTTTACTTGCACGTGGAGAGACATCATTCACCCCCTCAAATATTCTGCAGATTAGTGAAGTTCACTACCTGTAAAAAGTTTCAGACAAGCCTCACATGCTACAGCAAGCACTTACAAACAAAGCATTTCAAAATTGCTATTCTTTTTTTTTTACACAACCGACCAAAAGATAAAGGAATCAAAAGCCAAAAACATATTGAAGCACCTTAGACAAACACCCTTTTGGAGAAGCTAGGCAGCACTTGAGGCTTTGAGACACCTTGCTAACTTCACCAGCAAAAAGATCCTTTTCATCCTTTCCACTTTTTATTTCCCTTGTGGAAACGTGCCCCCTCTGTACATTAAAGAGAAAAATGTCTGCATGCGGGAATGTAAGACTAAGATTAGCCCTCTCTACAATATGCGTGCATCACAATATTTCAGTACCTGCCCCACAGACGTTTTTCTGCTTCTAGATACAAACATAACCTGTCCCAGTTTATTTATTTATATGTCATATGTTCATAAACAAGAAACCTGTCTATCACTAACTTTATATATATATATATATATATATATATTATATATCTATTGTATATGGCTCTTTCTCTCCTCTCCATTCCCCCTTTTTGTTAACCAAGTTGATTAATTTGTTGAAGCTCAAATATGTCTTTTATATACTCTCTCACCATCCAATTTTCCTTCTCCTTCAACTTTGTGGCAATTCCCGGTTTCATTTTGTCATCAATAAGACAGAGGCAGCACATGTCTAGCTCTCATTTTGACGAATTGGGAAGCGTCTGCAACCTACATTACCCGAATCTAGAGGTCTCGTTTAGCCAAAAGCCATAAAATGAAAGGCCTACACTACACATCCAAGGGGAATTAAGCATATTGGTCCGAATTGGTTTTCTTCTTCTCAATTGATCACTTTTCCACTTTCATTTTTCTTTTCCTGGTCTTTTGA